GCCGAAAGCTTTTTCCTAATCAAGAAAACACTAAACGAATCACGTATATATATATACTACTGCAATAAAACAAGTAACAATCAATTAAAAAAATAAACATGAGTCTTGTGGCTTACTACACACTTATTACTTATCACTAAACTACACAAGTTTAGATATCGATAGTAAGTTAAGTTAAAACAGATTAACAAAAATGCACATATAGAAATGATTATATCTTGTTCTAAGCGAATACTTCGGCCTTGAATGAGTCTTGTGGTAATTAGTAAATACAATATATACAATTGATTCACTCTTTCTTTCGACCAAAAAAAGAAAAAAATGATTCACTCTTTCAATTTTGCAACTACGTAGATTTAATGGTTGTAGCAGTCGGAGCAAACTATATTATTTACAGCTTACACATTTGTTTTCACCATTCACGAAATTTTAGCCTATAGTAACATTAAAAAAAAAAAATGCCGCAAATCAATTACAAAATAGTTCTACGAAGAAATAAATTTGGTTTGCTCCATAAACGATTAGGCATGTCTTGTCCATTTTAATTGCTGAAAGTTTTAAATTTTTTGTGGTTTATTATTGGATTAATTTGTTGAATAACCAAAAAAAAATCATATCTAATAATCTAACCAAAAACCCTAGATCAAATGGTTAGGATGTTGCCACATAGGTGATTTTTGGTTAGATTATCAGATATAATTTGTTTATGGTTATACAATCAAATTTTCCTTTATTATTTGTTCTTGTATAGGTTAAAATATTTTGTTTTCTATTTTTAAACAACTTATACTATATATTTATATACCATATTAATAAGTTATTTATGTATTTAAGGAAATAATGAATGAGGGTGGAATCATGATGATAGGGCTTAATGCTAAGCAATAGTGTGGTTTTTGTGTTGCCAGCTAGGATCCCTCAAGAAAGGATCCAAAGAAGGGTAAATCCGTCATTTTAAACATTTCATCTTCTTCTATTCCACAACTCTCTTCCATATTTAAGACACTTCAATTCTTCACATGATTTTCAAAA